GAGCACATATCCACAGAGCCCGGACATATGGACAGTAGTGATTTTAATTGCCTTAATCACAAAAAGATAAGAGATGCCCAGAGAACGGATAGTGGCTTACAACCGCTATTGAAATACGTCCAGGAACAAAAATTCCCAGGAAGAAGGGAAAGAGAACAATTTGGTCGAGAAACAAAGAAAATACTGAGTCAGTGGGACCGTCTCAGTATAGAGGATGGTGTTCTCATGCGGAGAATTCATGACCAAATTGATGGGACAATACACCAGGTGGTGGTGCCTGGACAGTTACGAGAAGAAGTGCTAAGGTTGGCACATGACAGGGCAGGACACCAGGGTCAGGACAGGACGCACAAAATATTACGACGGAGGTGTTACTGGCCCAATATGGAAATGGAGGTCAAACGCCATTGTGAGGCTTGTGTGAGGTGTCAGCATGCGAAAAGGCCAGTTGTCAAAATGAGACAGCCATCAGGACACCTACTAGCGACAAAACCACTAGAGATTGTGGCTATGGACTTTACGTCGTTGGAGCAATCATCGGATGGGACGGAACATGTGTTGGTAATGACTGATGTATTCACCAAATGGACTGTGGCGGTGCCCACACGAGATCAGACTGCCAAAACAGTGGCAAAGGTCTTAATAGAACATTGGTTCATCAAATATGGCATACCAAGACAATTACACTCTGACCAAGGAAGGGCTTTCGAGTCAGAAGTAATTAACCAACTGTGCAGCCACTACGGGATCAACAAATCTAGAACAACCACATTTAATCCGAAAGGAAACGGACAGTGTGAACGGTTCAACCGCAGCATGCATGATTTGCTGCGTACCCTAGAACCTGAACAGAAAAAACGTTGGCCGGATTTTCTCCCAGAGTTGGTATATCTATACAACTGCACCCCCCATGCCACAACCGGCTTTTCGCCACACATGTTGCTGTTCGGACGAGAGGCTCGACTCCCTCTTGATTTGTTCCTAGGAAAAAGGGAGAGTATGACTGGCTCATACACCGCACTGGAATATGTGAATGAACATATGAGAAGAAGTAGAGAAATGTACAGGGTAGTACAGGAAAGACTAGAACATGAAGCACGGCGAAGGGAACCGCCGGTACAGACAAAGGACCCGCCACTCAAACTGAACGACAGGGTATTACTGAGTAGCCACCCGTTAGGCAGAAACAAAATCCACGATCTCTGGGGACAGGAGATATGGCAAGTCGTGGAGATGCCTAAAGTAGCAGGTGGCCCCTTTAAGATAAGACCCATCGATCACGCCAAACCGGATCGGTGGGCGAATATTGCTCAATTAAAGAAATATTGGAATAGGCAAGAAGAGCAGTTACACACAGAGAAACCTAAGACAATTAGGGGACCGGAAGTTACAACGGAAATTCACATACCCATCCCGGAACCATATCACCATCAACAGAACAACCGCGATACACAAGTGGAGGATAACGGCAACAAAGAGGATCCCGTTCCTTCCAGAAGCAGAGAGACAGTAGACCATCAGATAAGTGGTCCGCGGAGAAGTTTGAGGAACAGAAGGAAGACGAAATTTTTTGTCAGCAACCATCAATTCTTTCATGGTCGCGCTGGTATGAGAACAGACTGTTCAAAAAAAAAAGCTATAAAAGTGAACTGGTGAAGGCACCAAACGAAAAGGGTGGATGTGAATTCTAGAACTGTTTTGTGTCTCAGGAAGATGATGTAGACACAGTTGATATGTGAAATAGGTATAACTGTCAATCGTATACGAATGGGACGACGTGGACAGTGAGTGGAACAATAAAATTTTTTTACGATTGTGCGATTGACTTTGGAGGAGTGCACCTGCCAGGCGTTGTTTGTGGTTGAAAACACACAAAAAAAGGCAGGGGTGGATGTAACTAGGGTAGGCCTAGCTACTAGTTACAATCTGATGTAACTGATAACGAACGATAAGCCGCGACGCAGTATTACAGTCTGATGCAACTGATAGCAGGTGGCTTATTAAATCGGACTGATAACAATCTCAAAGCCAACGCGTGCTATTTTGGGAAACGGTACGAGGGGATTCAGACGGCCTGTCAACTTTGATTGATAGGATGCAGATGTTTTATTAATCGGGCTGTACGTTAGAACTGCGCAACTAGTAGTCGGAGACATCGAGTACAAATATCGATTACGGAGGAATACAAGTACGAATACGAGTACGAATACAAGGGATAAATAGGAGGGGACGGCTGAACTCGCCCCTTTTCCCCTTTCCTTTTTCGATCGCTCGCTCTCTTCATCGCTCGCTTTAGATCAGTCAGTCTGTGTGACATATCAAGTTGGAGATAGAACGGGTTAGCCGTATTGTGTTAAGAAGGACGATAGACATGTGGATTCAGTTATATGAAGCCTAGTGAGGACTGTTAGGGGTCAGTTGATTCAGACTATTATTGTGAAGCATTCCTGTTGATTCATTGTGTTATTTTGAAGCATTTCTTGATTCATGTAATAAAAGGATCAATAGCGAACCTGCATCTTCGAGTATTTCTACTGTAGTCGATGTTGTGTAGAATGAGTGGTTAAACTCGTTACATTTGGCACTACAGGCAAATAATCTCGTAACATGTGGCGTTGCGAGCAGGGTAACTGTTCGCTCGTTACATATAGATCATGTTGTTCTTTATTCAAATACTCCAAGGGCATCAATGGTAAATTACATTGTGGTTTATTTATAGATCATGTTGTTCTTTATTCAAATACTCCAAGGGCATCAATGGTAAATTACATTGTGGTTTATTTATAGATCATGTTGTTCTTTATTCAAATACTCCAAGGGCATCAATGGTAAATTACATTGTGGTTTATTTATAGATCATGTTGTTCTTATTCAAATACTCCAAGGGCATCAATGGCAAATTACATTGTGGTTTATTTATAGATCATATTGTTCTGTATTCAAATACTCCAAAGGGAATCCAGTTCAGTCTACTTTTAGTAAATCGCAACATATTTTTAAAAATACCATATGTATTGTCATATATCACACAAACAACAAACAGCTCATCTCTTCAACATTGTTGCTTTTTCTCTGCACCACAATATTATAACTACATTAAGACTGTATAAAGTAACAGCGTGGTCGAGTAGTAGAGCGCTCAACTGCTAGCCCTAAGGTCTCTAGTTCGGATCTCGTCCCGGAATCGTGAATATCGGGCTTCCTTGAGTCAACCCAGCTCTAAAGCGTACCTGATTCATGTCAGGGAAACTAAAGGCGAACGCTACTTCATCTGCCGTATGAATCGTTATATCTGAAAGAAAGAAAAAAAGTACTTCGAGCTGTATTACAACTGTATTATAACTGTGTTGCAACTGTCTAGCAACTATATTACAAATTGAAAAAAAAAATTCTCCACAATTCTGTCGCAACACGAAATATAATTAAACACCTACGGACGTCACTGATTCAGGCGGACAGAGTTTAATTTTAACTTAATAACCTCGGATCCAAATGATAATTATATGTACGTCAACAGCCCTAATGAGCTCGTGGTGGCTAGATTATAATTCGTCGATCAGAAATTAGCTATTTCGTATCCTTAAGGCTGGCGAAGTCAATCTTCAATTATCGGTGAAAATTTTTTTACCTGTATAATTTAATGAATGTATCAAGGTATTTTGATGTAGTGAAGTTCGTGTTTTTGTCGAGGTTGTTAAATTATAATTAAATCTAAGGGGTGGATTGTGGAGATAGTTGACGAGGTGAGATGTGGGGGGGGGGGGGGGTGCGGTGGGGAGGTTCGGTGGGGAGGGCCGGTGGGGAGGGCCGGTGGGGACGGGAGGTGTGGAGGAGAAGTGTGGTGGGGAGGGGTGTTGCGGTTGGGAGGGGAGGTGCGGTGGGGAGGGGAGATGGGAAGGGGAGGTGGGGAGTAGAGGGGATGAGTAAGAGATGAGGGGTGAGGTGTGGTTGGGTAATGTGCTAGGATGACCAGCGTATATGAGAAGAAATTAATTTCACCTAGTCCCTATCCTGATAGCTTAAGATAGTACATGACTTATCACTAAAGTGTGTCAATTTATTCATGAGAAAAATCTGTTAATGTTGTCCATCTCAGGGGTTACGTACTGGGGTAAGGTCAACCTGTTAATTTTGTCCCTACCCCTCCCCCCCCCCCCCCCCCCCACAGACCCCATGTACTGGGGCATCAACCTTGACCTTTAATGTTGTCTTTTTATCTACCCCCCTACTTCAGACCCCATGTACTGGGACCCTCAATGTTGACTTTTGTCCCCCTCAAGGCCCCATGTACCGTGACACCAACCTTGACCTTTAATGTTGTCCTTTGTCCCCCCCCCCCCCAGGCCCCATGTACCGGGACACCAACCTTGACCTTTAATGTTGTCCTTTGTCCCCCCCCCCCCTCCCAGGCCCCATGTACCGTGACACCATGTAATGGGATACCAACCTTGACCTTTAATGTTGTCCTTTGTCCCCCTCAAAGCCCCATGCAATGGGACACCAACCTTGACCTTTAATGTTGTCCTTTGTCGTCGTCCCCAGGGCCCATGTACTGGGACACCAACCTTGACCTTTAATCTTGACCTTTGTCCCCCCAGGGCCCATGTACTGTGACACCAACCTTGACCTTTAATGTTGACCTTTGTCCCCCAGGGCTCATGTACTGTGACACCAACCTTGACCTTTAATGTTGACCTTTGTCCCCCCAGGGCCCATGTACTGGGACACCAACCTTGACCTTTAATGTTGACCTTTGTCCCCCAGGCCCCATGTACTGGGACACCAACCTTGACCTTTAATGTTGACCTATGTCCCCCCAGGGCCCATGTACTGGGACACCAGCCTTGACCTTTAATGTTGACCTTTGTCCCCCCAGGGCCCATGCACTGGGACACCAACCTTGACCTATAATGTTGACCTTTGTCCCCCAGGCCCCATGTACTGGGACACCAACCTTGACCTTTAATATTGACCTTTGTCCCCCCCCCCCCCCAGGCCCCATGTACTGGGACACCAACCCCGACTGGAAGCTGTGCAAGTTCGGCAGGCAGCAGTCACCCATCAACATCGAGCCCAGGCGTCTGCTCTACGACCCCAACCTGAAGCATCTCAAGATCGAGGCCACCACGGTGAGTCACGTGATTGTGTGCCACCATGGTAAGTCACGTGATTGTGAAAAAGCTGGGTGGGGAAATGTTATATGTAAGACACATGACCTTTGAGGAACATTAAATCACATGACCTCGAGTTTATAAGCACATTGGGCAGGGGTGTAGCGAGGGGGGGCGGGGGTGCGGACCGCGACACCATTTAGGGGGGTGACACCAAGGCAAAAAATAGTAAAATATATAGAGAAAAATGATAATTCCACTCAATTAAGTGACTAATTCGAGTGTCAAATTGTCTTTTAAGAGTTGCAAATCGAAAGTTTCAGAGGGGGGGGGGGGATGCAAATTGAAAATTGAAAGTTTGTCCCCGGGAAGGGTCGTTACGCCTATGGGGGGGGTGACACCATTAAGTGCCGCACCGGGTAATACCCGACCTCGCTACGCCACTGAAATGGAGGTCAATTTACGTAAAGGTTTTAGCTTATTCAAAAGTCATATGAGGTGCTGAAGTTGATTGTCTTAAGGAAGGCTAGGGAACTGACAAAATTTCTCTGGACAAAATAACGCTAAGACAAAACATATCATACCGAAATATCTAAAGTATTTAGGTAGCAATAGTTGGATTGAATATTAAAATGTCATGATGCATGACTTTTGACATTTTGTATTTATGGCAAAATGTATAGAATGCTGATTAGTGTTCTATTTTCTGCTGTAATATTTAAATCAAAACCGTAGCGTATAACACAAAAAAGTGTTCATATGTGTGTCTAATTTAAATAAATATGACTCGGTCCAATTTGCAGGATGGACTTTAATTAGCATGCTATGCCAATTAGAAAATACGTGCTGAAAGTCTTTTTAACCAAACCTATTACCACGAAAAACCGTTCTAGAATTCTTGCCTCATCTTAACCCTCCACAAACCAGCTTAGGAAAATACGAAACGGTATTTAACTTCTTATTAACCAACTATGCACCTGATGCGATTATGCGAATGCCTTCTCAAGCACTTAAACGCTTTATTGGCTAGCCTCGAACCCAAGGGGTTAAATTTATTACTATTTCATATTTTCTTGAAAAAAATAAAAAAAATACAAACCTAGGCTAAAGTGGTGGTCAGAAGAGCAATTAACTCTACCATTCTACCGTCTGGGTTCAACATAGTTTGTCTCCCCTTCCACGACTATTGTTCTGCCGTCGTTAAAAGGGGCAAGACAACACGAAACATACATCAGGCAAATCTGTTGCCTAGAGGCAAACCGGCAATCGGCATCCACCAATTTCATTTCAAAAAAGATTTTAGGTGTAGAGCATTTAACTTAAGGAGCCGTTCTCACATGGCATTGAAAGTCAGAGATGAAAGAATGCTGCACTTCTTTTAACCCTTTCTTTTAATCTTTTGCGCTACGGTCCGATTAAGAGGTTTTTGATCTGTAATTATTTAACTGGGCTATATTTAGAAATGACGCATGCACAAGGAGGGTTATTCTTAAAACAAGTACCGCAGTTTGGAGATTACTACGCTCTATTGGACACGCATTGATTTCATCGTTTAGCTCAATTTATTACTAAGTTAGGATTTTTCGTTGGTAGTTTCACGTATAGCGAACTACAGTGAGACAAATTATTTAGACTTGGCAAAGATATTGGGTGGACCGCTGTAGTTGTCTTATGATTGGGCTGATTTTATAAATAGTCATTAGTTTAATGAGGGTTTAACACAGAAATGGATGGTTGGATGGATGGAAGGATGGAAGGATGGAAAGATGGAAGGATGGAAAGATGGATGGAAGGATGGAAGGATGGAAGGAAGGAAGGATGGAAGGAAGGATGGAAGGAAGGCTGGATGAATGGATGGATGGATGGATGGATGGATGGATGGATGGATGGATGGATGGATGGATGGATGGATGGAATGGATGGATGGATGGATGGATGGATGGATGGATGGATGGATGGATGGATGAATGGATGGATGGATGGATGGATGGATGGATGGATGGATGGATGGATGGATGGATGGATGGATGGATGGATGGATGGATGGATGGATGGATGGATGGATGGATGGATGGATGGATGGATGGATGGATGGATGGATGGATGGATGGATGGATGGATGGATGGATGGATGGATGGATGGATGGATGGATGGATGGATGGATGGATGGATGGATGGATGGATGGATGGATGGATGGATGGATGGATGGATGGATGGATGGATGGATGGATGGATGGATGGATGGATGGATGGATGGATGGATGGATGGATGGATGGATGGATGGATGGATGGATGGATGGATGGATGGATGGATGGATGGTAGGATGGATGGTAGGATGGATGGTAGGATGGAAGAATGGATGGTAGATGGAAGGATGGAAGGATGGAAGGATACACGGATAGATAGGTAAATGGAGGGGTAGATGGGTCGATGGAAGGATGTATTGATATATGTGTGTGTGTAAATGGATGACATGCTCTGTGAGTAAAATATTTTACCCATCATGGAAATGTAGCATTTAAGAAAAAGCGATGATACACAAAATAGCTATAGACGAAATATCTCTAAATAAATAAAGATAAAAAAATCAACGCGATTATCTTAAATGTTGCCGTTTTTTAAATTATGAAATATTTTTTTTGGGATTACACACACAGCTACAAGCAACCCTAGAACATCAAACGTGGCAGCCATTAGGCATATATTGTCAGTTTACAAAACCCCCAAAACATTTCACATAAACAATCCTAGTAAACTCTAGAACGTTTTTTTTTTAGAAATTTGAAAGAATTCTCAAAAAAATATCGTTTTCCTAATTGTAAAGACAACCCGAAACACGGGAGCCAACTACAGCTTTCAATAACTGCGATTATCTGCCCGTGTCTCGACAGAGTTGTCTCCCATTTTTTAATTTCTCCTCTGGATTCTCTCCCCTTGTTTTGGACTTGGATTACGAGAGGAGCTGTAAGAAAAACACAGGACTCAGTCCCAGCGCCATTTATCCCGGGGAGATTTTATTAAACAAACTGGAGCCAATAAAAAAAATGCCCGTGACACGGATCCACACAAGATCTCCCTCACAAAAAAGCGCGGGGGTACGGGACCTGCTCCCCTTACCCCACCCCTCCACACTCCCCCCCCCCCACCTCTCACGCCGGGGTGGATCAGAGGATCGTATTGTCTTTAACACAGCGATAAAGATGCTAATAGTGGGCGATAAATGTCGGCGGGTGCCAAGAGCAACTTTTCAATTCTCACAAGTAGATCGATACTTCTAAATAAGAATCGATACCGCTAGATACGGATTGATAACTCTAGATAGGAATAATAAATACTTCTAAATAAGGATGGACACTTTCAGTTAGGGATCGATACCGCTAGACAAGAATCGATTTCTCTAGATTGGGATCGATACTTTTAGATCAGGCTCGATACCTCAAGAAAAGGATCGATGACTCTAGATAGGGATCGATGCCAACCTTAGCTGAGGGTGAAGCGGGGGTGGGGGGAGGGGGGAGACAATCTGATTTGTAGAATCAGGTGTAAACACCGTGGATTCTAAATCTGGCGGCTCAGGGGAGCATCGGACGGGAAGGCTAGTGGGATTAACGATACGGCCAAAACAGAATCGTATAGTCCCAATAATATTGGCGGTGTGCTAGAAACATTTCACTACATGTACTTAATTGACTTAATTACTGTTGTTACTTTTGTTAGAGGTTTGATTTGGCCGAACCCAACGATCTTCATTGAAGAGTGTGGTTAAAGTATATGTTTTCTATGTTAGTTATATATTCTCTTCCAATACGCTCTAGGGGAGGTAACCATACTACGGTACTTAGTGGTGGGAGCCGTACTGAATGGTGGTAACCGTACTACGGTACTGAGGGGGGGGGGGAGGGTAACCGTACTACGGTACTGAGGGGGGAGGGTAACCGTACTACGGTACTGAGAGGTGGTAGCCGTACTAAGGTACTCCCCAAAATTGTGTTACCAGGACATGCTAATGACGCCAATCCCTTAATGTCTCTCTCAACTGTACATGCGGTGACAAGACAAATGATCTCATGAACAAAACATAACAGGACAAATTATACCATGGACAACATATCTCAGGACAAAATATCTCACAGACAAAATATCTCACGGACAAATTATCTCAGACAAAATACCTCACGGACAAAAGATCTCAGGATATTTTGTCTGAGATCATTTGCCCTAAGATCATGTCCATGAGATATTTTGTCTGGAATATTTTGTCAGGTATAGTTCGTCCATGGTATAATTTGTCCTTGTATATTTTGTCCTGAGATCTTTTGTCCGTGAGATCATTTATCCTTGAGATTATTTGTCCTGAGATTATTTGTACATTAGATATTTTGTCAGAGATATTTTGTCAGGGATATTTTGTCAGGGATATTTTGTCTGAGATCATTTATCACGAAACCGTACCTGCTAATAAACCTAATCGCACAATGTTTCTCTCACCTGTCCAGGTAAACGGCCTGCTACGTAACACCGGTCACGACATTTTGATCGACGTGTACAAGGAGGAGACCCGGTACATCAACATCAGCCTGGGGCCCTTGTCCTACAGCTACCGGGTGGCCGAGGTTCGGTTCCATCTGGCGAACAACGACAGTGTAGGCTCGGAGCATCGGGTGGGAGGCAGGTCATTCCCTGCAGAGGTCAGTCTGTTTTATTATAGGTCATTTCCTGCAGAGGTCATTTCATGTAGTCCGTCTGTTTTATAATAGGTCATTTCCTGTAGAGGTCATTTCCTGCAGAGGTCAGTCTGTTTTATTATAGGCCATTTCCTGAAGAGGTCAGTCTGTTTTATTATAGGTCATTTCCTGCAGAGGTCAGTCTGTTTTATTATAGGTCATTTCCTGAAGAGGTCATTTCATGTTGAGGTCAGTCTGTTTTATTGTAGGTCATTTCCTGCAGAGGTCATTTCCTGCAGAGGTCAGTTTGTTTTATTATAGGCCATTTCCTGAAGAGGTCAGTCTGTTTTATTATAGGTCATTTCCTGGCGAGGTCATTTCATGTAGAGGTCAGTCTGTTTTATCGTTGTTCGTTTCCTCTGTGTGAGAAAGGTCTCAGTCTTGAACACTGAGCTATAGTTTTGGAGAACTTTGAGATCAGAGTGAATATATCTCAGTGTCATTGTTAGATTTTGGCTTTTTAGATCTGCGAGTATGGGTCTGATAAGTCACGAGTGACTATAGTTGTGAGAATGAGTGCTGGGTGTGTTAGGTTCTAAGTGTCTGAAGCATGTATTACGTATGAGTGAATTAAAGTCTGCGCGTATGTATGAGTGTGCATGTGAGAGAGTGTGTGTGTATCAGTGTGTGTGTCATTGTATGTCAGTGTGTATCAGAGTGCGATTGTGTGTGTATGTAAGTGTGTGTGTGCGTGTGATTGTATGTACTTATGAGCGTGTGTGTGTATGAGTGATCTCAATAAATGAGGTCTGAGCCGTCCACTTAGTCCCGATGACGTCCAACCCCACCCCACCCCCACCCGCCACACAAACACGCAGTTGAGTTCCCTGGAATCTTCCAGAACATCCACCGAGGCCGACACTGCTCACGACTCGAGTCTTACAGTTAAGACCGTGCATCAAACGGTGGCACTCAGCATCACAATCTGGCACATCAGGACGTACAGCTCCTTGCGAGGGCAGGGGCGTTGGTTGGTGGGGGGTAAGGGGTGTAGAATTCTATCCCCCCTCCTCAACCCCTTCCCTCGCTATAGACCCAAAAATTACAACTTTTTCAAGTTAAGTTTAAGAACCCACCACTAACATCTATCATGAGCTAGAGTATTTTAGAATTTTCTCACATGATGCACTACGGGTTTTAATAAATCACCCAACATTCAGTGTCAAATTCTATCCCTAGTTATAGTCCCTGTACCCTCCCCCCTCCTACCCCCGCTTCCTCCTCTTCAAAACATAAACCTTTACTAACCATTGAATTCACGTCAAATTGCCTCGGACTAACAACCTCAGCTTACAGTAGTTACATCACAAGATTTCATCTCATATCGATTTGCCATTCATCCATTTATATTTTACATCCAATACTTTAACTTTTTAGTTTAAGGTTAGGTTGTGATGTTCATGTTAAATTGTGCGTGTTTTATGAGCAACGCAATGTTGTCGGTGGGTAAAGCTAAACGAACAGCAGCGAAATGTTCACAGATATTTTCCACGACCATTTTCATCGACTTCTCCTGGATTCGACTTCCTTATCCAATCAGAAATATTATATTTTTTTACACTTGACTTACTAGAAAAATCGATGGAGTACTGTGCCCCTACCCCCCCCCTCCTGCTTAACGTGTTCATTCCCAGATATCCTTATCAGTTCGCCATTATGGCGCCCTGTCTACCAGTTCGCCGTTATGGCGCCTTATCTACCAGTTTAACCGTTATGGCGCCCTGTCTACCAGTTCACCGTTATGGCGCCCTGTCTACCAGTTCACCGTTATGGCGCCCTGTCTACCAGTTCGCCGTTATGGCGCCCTGTCTACCAGTTCACCGTAATGGCGCCCTGTCTACCAGTTTAACATTATGGCGCCCTGTCTACCAGTTCACCGTTATGGCACCCTATCTACCAGTTTAACATTATGGCGCCCTGTCTACCAGTTTAACATTATGGCGCCCTGTCTACCAGTTCGCCGTTATGGCACCCTGTCTACCTGTTTAACATTTTGGCGCTCGAGCTAGATCTAATTTTTTTTTGTTTATTTGGCCTACAATTTATTCTCGTTTGGCTTTAGTTTTAAAACTAAATCTGGCTCTCAATAGGTTTTATAGGATTGCTTTGCAATCTATATAGTTTTATAGTTGTATGAATATAGTTTCATATATTTTTGTAAAGTTCACAAGTCGTGTACTGTCAAAAGGTCCGAGTTAGTTCACGATGCCAACTTAAATGCGCATGCGCGAATTTTTTTTTTCATTTCTGTTACTGCGTTATCAAAACATATCTTCGAATTTCATTTTGAAACACAATAACATTTTTATTGAATTTACGTTGTTTTTCTTCCGACTTGTAAAAAAAAAAAATTGTTTTATCATGCGTTCAGATTTGATATCACCAGCGAATGAAATATCCGGTCTCCCTCCCCCTCTCCCACCCCACTCCCGGGCTAGCCAATGAAAGCACCTCGGCCTGACCAAGGAAAGTTATTGTTTCCCATAATGCCAGATGATTCGAGTGGTGATTTATGCCTCCGTCACCGAGTAAACCCCCCTAGATCCGCACTATCCCCTATACTCATCACCGGTTCCCTTAATGAAGACAAAGCATTCTAAAAATGGCGTCTGCCTGGCCAGATTTTTTCCCCCTATATGCCAGAAAAGAAATGATAAATTTTATTTTAAAATTATCAAATCAACCATCCGGTTCGGTCACCATAAACGCGGGCAAGCTTTCGTGAAGCGATTTTTTTTTCAAGATTTTCTAAATCCCAATTTAAATATAAAAAATAAAAATAATTTTCTTTTAATTAAAAAAAAAAAAAAACAACAACAGGGGGGATAATTTTATATGTGTGTTTACACATATCTGAAGAATAAGCCTGCGCCAAGAGCTCTCTGGGAAATCTTGAAAGTTAATCAATGCACGGGGGGTTAATACTACACGGGGCCGGCGTACAAACCGGCATATCACGGGGAGACCAATGGGTTTCGATTAGTTAGATTAAACGAGGGCCGGTGCCCCCAACACTGGCTCTATTGGCTTGGCGAGGGCGGGGGAGGGCGGGGGAGCGGGTCAAAGTTGGCGCGACATGATTTGAATGACGCCTGATAAGACGGAGGAGGGGAGAGGGAGGAAAGGGAGGGGGGGGGGGTTGCTTTTCGACATTTCACGGCGGGGATTTTTTTTTAAATATTTTTTTTTCTCTTGGTTTCTGGTGAGAGTTTTATCGAGTTTGTCGAGATGACGTGTCGGCGAGGGGAAGATGTTTTGATTAGACATTAGGACACAGGGCGAGGGAAATATGGAGGAAGGGGATCCTCTACTACACACGGCTCTAGGGGGTGGGTGGTGGAGGTGGGGTAGGTGGGGGGGGGGGAGTTGGGCTCTGTGTAAAAAAAATGTTAGGAAAATTAAAAAATTATGCTAATTAGAGATGTCGGTTTAAGAAAAAAATGAACAAATTCCGATTTGGAGATAAAGAATTTGAAATAATATTTGAAAATATCTTCGGAATTAGTATTTTTTTCTAAAAAAAAAGTATATTCCAGCGCCTAATTCACGCGTCAATATAAGAGAAGAATATGAAAAATGAATTTTGTGGTTGTATTATGTCTAAATATTCTGTGTTAAGTATTTTTGTAAATGTACAGCACTTCGCATTGACACTATTGCAGAATCAATTTATTTTTTACAGCACTTTGTTATTGTTGATATTTAAAGCACAAATAGTCGAAAATAGCGCTGTGTTGTGTATTATAACAATGTCCAACATTTCTTAGGAACCACGGTACATCTAACATTTCCTTAGCTCCATCTTACTTATATTTCGTAGTGCTATTTCTTATAGCACTATGGTTCGTCTGTAATTTGTTATAGCACTCTGGTACATCTACCGTATCTTTGTAGCTAGCACCATATTACCTCTACCATTTTATGTGGCTCCATGGTCCTCTACCATTTACTGAGGCACCATAGTACCTCTACCATTTATTGAGGCACCATAGTACCTCTACCATTTAATGAGGCACCATAGTACCTCTACCATTTAATGAGGCACCATGGTACGTCTAACATGTACTGTAGCACCATAGTACCTCTACCATTTATTGTAGCAGCACAGTACCTCTACCATTTATTGAGGCACCATGGTACCTCTACCATTTATTGTGGCACCATAGTACCTCTACCATTTATTGTAGCACTATAGTACCTCTACCATTTATTGAGGCACCATGGTACCTCTACCATTTATTGTGGCACCATAGTACCTCTACCATTTATTGTAGCACTATAGTACCTCTACCATTTATTTTGGCACCATGGTATCTCTAGCATTACTTACAGTATGATGTGATGTTTGCCCAGATAATTGTGTGGAAGTGATGACTTTGACAGGGAGGCAACTTTATCGATTGGTGAAAGTTGAGCTAAGTTCTGTAGTACTGGGCCTCGTTTTGGTGTAGTCGTTGGTGTATGTGGGTCTCGTTTTGGTGTATACGTTTGTGTATGTGGGTCTCGTTTTGGTGTATTCGTTTGTGTATGTGGGTCTCGTTTTGGTGTATTCGTTTGTGTATGTGGGTCTCGTTTTGGTGTATACGTTTGAGTATGTGGGTCTCGTTTTGGTGTATACGTTTGAGTATGTGGGTCTCGTTTTGGTGTATTCGTTTGTGTATGTGGGTCTCGTTTTGGTGTATTCGTTTGTGTATGTGGGTCTCGTTTTGGTGTATACGTTTGAGTATGTGGGTCTCGTTTTGGTGTATACGTTTGAGTATGTGGGTCTCGTTTTGGTGTATTCGTTTGTGTATGTGGGTCTCGTTTTGGTGTATACGTTTGTGTATGTGGGTCTCGTTTTGGTGTACTCTTTGTGTATATGGGTCTCAGTGTTATGGTCTTAGTATTGTGGTCTCAATATTTTGGTCTTGGTGTTGTGGTCTACAGATTTGTGGTCTCACTATTGTGGTCTCACTACTGTGGTC